ACTGAAGACTGGACTGACTTAAGTCGCTCCATCTACCGTTCACGTATAGGATGACCCATTGCAGTTTAATTATTACAATTTATTCAGTTATTGTCCTCAAAAACACAGAGATGTATACCGCGAACAGAATTTAATTTCTTAGGAGATTAAAAAGCTGAACTTTCAACACCGGTATATCTGACAGCAAGCAGACAGGGAAAGCTGAGGGGCACACTGATGACCCGGACTCCTCGCAGCTGCGTCAAGCAGTGGCAAAATAACGGCAAAACACGTGCCTGGACCTTTTAGCTATTATCGAGGCTTTTCGTATGGTAAGTTACAATATCAATATATATTACTTAAGCCTGTCCAAGCATATTTCGCAGTGGTTGACCGGTTTCAAACGAAATATACTCTTACAATTCCGGTCTACGCCTACGGACCTTATAGATGCTGATATATATCGCGAACGGAAATTAATTTCTCAGGGAATTAAAAAGCCGAACTCACAGATTGCAACAAAATGGTCTATAGGGATGCTTATGTAATACCACTGACTGTCTTTGAAAGTAAAAACTTTAATGTAAAAAATTAAGATGACTTATGATTTAAGCTAGAATTTGGCAGAACGTATGATTAGTATCGCATGGAATGTCCCATGAGGGCTTTCGATTTGCCGCAACGCAGGTCAGGTGCACTAAAAGGCAGTGCCCCCATGATCACTTTTTTCCCGAAGTAGCTGTTGATTGATCCATAAGTTTTTCGCTCACATGAGAAGTAAGTGGGGTACCCACAGTTTATTAAGCCAAACAGAAAAAACAGGAACTCGAATTAGATTATTCCCATGATCAGTGTTACACAAGGTTCTTGAATTCAATGATGTCGACCATGTCGTTTCTTTTCGCACTTCTTTTGACACTTCTCCAGGGTGTCAAACCTGTTTATGTTGCCACCGCAACCACCGTAGATGAACTTCTCACAGCGATGTGTTTCACTGTTGTAGCCGTACGTTGTAATGGCAGCCTTGCACTTTCCTGGATCGATTTTCTGTTTGCAAGTAGGCATTCCTAATTGTAGAAGAGTAGAAAGAAAGCCGTCGTAATATGGACAGGTACAATTAGAGCGGAGCAGGACTATGCACATAGCACCGTAATCTTTCTTAACGATTCGATCGAGCACAGACGGACACACAAGATGGATGTCAACTTTCTATGCACGTTCAAAATCTTAATGATTTTTTGCATATTTACTGACGACGACCTAGGGAACTAGCGGTTAATATCTACACAGTACGGTTACCAACCCTTTGCAAGGAACTTATTTACCGTGGTGCCGTAATAGGGTATTAATCTCAATGACCAAAGGTCCTGGGTTCAAATCTCGGGGGTTCCCACCCTTTAAACTCGGTTTGTCTGGCTGATGACGGCTTACAAGCCAAAAACGGCCATGCCGGTCTCACTTTGCTTTGTCAGACCTATTTCATCATATCACCATAGTCACCAGGTGACGGTCTGGTGGGTTCATGTTGTCAGCTCCTAGGCAAAACGGATCGGGGAAGAACATATATTCATCATATTCCCGAGCTCGACCAACAAAGCAGGGAGCCCGTGGTGCCGAATATCCCGGATCCGAATCTCGAGGGTTCCAACCCTTGAGATTGGGTATGACTGAATGATGACGGCTAACAAATCTGAAATAGCCATTCCGGTCTCTCTTTGCTTTGTCGGATCCACTTCATCATATATCTGAGGTCGCTAAGCAAAAGCCTGATATCACTCAAGGTACATCTGGAACAAGTATATTTCCTAACCAGATAGATCGGATGAACACCCCAGATCCACATATATACATATTGCTTTTGAAAATTCAGGACGATAAAACAATGGTTCCCGAGATCATCTTATCTTCTCATATGTATATATATCTCGGCTAAGAAATTTTCTATATTTTCAAATGTATGACTTGGAGGTGGGTGAATAAAACATGACTTTTTAGGTTCAAAACGGAGATTTCTATGAAAACTTTGGTCTTCGGCAATTAACCCTTGTTAGACAATCACGTAAATGTCAGTTATGCAAACTAGTGGTATAAACAAGTTGTATGAATTCTACATGGCATAGATGTAATACCGAATTTCAGCATAGGAAATATCAGAAACACTGGCAAAACCCGTGGCTGGGCTTTTAGCTTGTACCTATGTGGGCGTACGCTTTAGCATCTTTGAAATATCTGTATCTATTCATTCAGACGTTCATTCACCGTCCATGCAAAGAAATATTTCGTTTGATATTTTACTTATTGCTCCTTTTATTGCTTTTATACACCCATATATATATATAGCAGTAAGGGGAGTATGACAGCGCCTGGGGGTAACTTGATA